CCTTCCCCCCTCCCCCAGTCTCTCCCGCGCGGGGCGAATGTGGGAAGAAGACGGGGGGAACCTGAACACCTGTGCGAGAACACCTGCGTCTGTTTCTCCGTTCTAATTTGGGAAAGCGTCTTCACCGAGGTCGACAGGTGAATGGGAAGGCCCCTCGGGGTGTTTGCTCTTCCACGCACACACGTACACATACATACATGTATATACTCGCATGTATGTATCCTGGCACATACACACACGCAAGAAAAAAATGTTGATAAAAACAAACAAACAAACAATACTCAAACATGTAGGTCCAATACACACACACACGCACACACACACAACACACCCAACACACCACACCACCACACACACACACACACACAACACACACACAGCACACACACACCACACACCACACACACACACACCACACACACACACACACCAACACACACACACACACACACACACACACACAACACACACACATTACACAATTGTATATAAAAAAAAATCGCTAATGATTTTAAAATATTTCAGTCATCAGTACATGTCAGTCATAACGAGACTCTATCGACTTTGATATCGAATTTATGGCATTTGTTTGAGTCCGAGATCTATTTATAGGAAAATTCTGCTCGTGTGGGAGTGTCGAAACGATGTGTCTTTCTCTCTCTCTCTCTCTTTTCAATAATTTGTTGTCTTTTTCTACCTTTTTTTTTTTACTTTTCTCATTTTTTTGTTTCATTTCTCTTTTTCTTTTCTGTTTTTTTTCTTTATTGTTTTTCGTTTTTTCTTCTTCTTCTTTTTTTCTTTTCTTGTTCGTGTGTTTTTTTCTCTCTCTCTTTTATTTCCATTTTTCTTAATTAATCTCTCTCTCTTCATTCCTTTTCCTACTTTTACTTTCTCCTACTTTTTCCTTACACTCTCTTTTCTATTTCTCTTTTCTTCTCCTTTCCCCCCTTTCCTGTTTTCTTTCTTTGTCTTTTTTCTTTCTCTTTCTCTTTCCATTTCCATTTCTTTCTAGTGAATGTAGAGAATGCCAATGTTTGTGCTATTTTGGCTCCTATTGAGGTGCGTCTGAAATAAGAATTTTCTATACTCCTCTGGTTCTCGTGTGTGTGTGTGTGTGTGTGTGTGTGTGTGTGTGTGTGTGTGTGTGTGTGTGTGTGTGTGTGTGTGTGTGTGTGTGTGTGTGTGTGTGTGTGTGTGTGTGTGTGTGTGTGTGTGTGTGTGTGTTGTGTGTGTGTGTGTGTGTGTGTGTGTGTGTGTGTGTGTGTGTGTGTGTGGTGTGTGCGTGTGTGTGTGTGTTGTGTGGTGTGTGTGTTGTGTGTGTGTTAGAATCTGTGATGGTATTGCATATAACGATGATTAACAATCATTATAATGATGATGTTGATTATTGTGATGATATCGATAGTGTCAATGATAATGATAATAATGATAATAATAATGATGATATCGACAATAATCACCGTTATCATTACTAATGACAGTTATCATTTTCATTATCCTAACCTTTATTAATAGCTGTTGATGAGTCATTACTGTAATCAGAATGATAGCAGTATTTATCATAATCTCTCTCTCTCTCTCTCTCTCTCTCTCTCTCTCTCTCTCTCTCTCTCTCTCTCTCTCTCCCACTAGATTAAGATTCCAAAATTACAAACTAAAAAAGAAGAAAAAAATCTGTATACATGCATATATATAAGAATGATAATGATATATTAAGGATAAAACTGTAATAATGTTTAACAAAAATAATGCAAATGTCCCTTTTATTTTCCCGTTTTCTATATTTTGTTTAACAACGAATGCAATATATTCCCGTTTTCTTCGATGAAAAACTGAGAAACAGAAAACGACAAACGCATTTTAAACGACGCGTGATTTACAGATAACAATAATTTGGATCCGTTGTAACGAAACGTCAAAAAATGTGTTCTCAAAACCCCCCCAAAAAACAACAAACGGCTTTACTGATTAGAAAACCCGTTATCTCAGTGACTCTACACACGGCAGGGAGAGTCCAAAAATTCGTTATAATGTCCATGTAAATACGATTTTAAATGCAGAAAAAAGAAATACACAGGAAAAGCGATTTTTCCCTGCCAGGACATGCAACTCTGTGGCTTCGTTGCATGCGTGCGAGAAGCAACGAAGGAAATGGGTCTTCTCATTGTTCGAATAATGGATGTGGAATTTCTCCTTCTCCCCCTCCCCCCCCCCCAAAAAAAAAAAAAGTCTACATTCTTAAAAAAGAAGAAGAAGAAAAAGAAGAAGAAGAGGAACGAAGAAGAAGAAGAGGAGGACGAATAATAATAATAATAACAATAATAATATAATAATAATTAATAATAATAATAATAATAATAATAATAATAATAATAATAAGAGGACGAAAAAGAAGAAGAAGAAAGAAAAACGAAGAAGAAGAAGAAGAAGAAGGAAGAAGAAAGAAGAAGAGAAGAAGAAGAAGAAGAAGAAGAAGACGAAGACGAAGACGAAGACGAAGACGAAGACGAAGACGAAGAAAAAAAAGAGAAGATAAAGAAAAGAACGAAGAGAAGAAAAGAGAAGGAGGTGAAAAAGAAGAAAAAAGAAGAAGAAGAAAAAGAAAAATAAAAAGAAAAGAAAAGAAAAAGAAAAAACGTTCATGTCAAGGAACTCGTTTTGACTAATGAATGGCACACGAAGTTAAATACGAGCAAGCAGGCAATCACAGTTACTTGGCTTGCAAATTGCACAAAAGGAATGCTAGTTTTACGTAGTCCGGTCTGCCACAAACAACGGATACGGTGACGCTGTAAACACTACAGTGACGAGCGAAAGATCTTTTAATGATATGGAAAATAATCCCGCGAGCTGATGGAGTGTGGATTTTATTATGGTGATAGATATTAAGTCGTATCTGGTAATGGAAGTTTAGAGTATTTCTGTCTGTCTGTCTGGCTGGCTGGCTGGCTGTCTGTCTGTCTGTCTGTCTGTCTGTCTGTCTACACACACACACACACATACACACAAGCACACACACACATACACATACATACATACACATCCACATACATTACACATACACATCCATACCATACAGACACACACACACACACACACACACACACACACACACACACACACACAACACACACACACACACACACACACACACACACATCCGCAAAATAAGCTAAATGAACACACACACACAAAAAAGAAAATGCACTTTCTTGGCACTTTCTTGCCCCGGCCCTTATTGATTAGATGTCAATATCGCAGCCAATTCCATCCGCCGGCCGCCTTTAATGACGTTGCAGGTGACACAATTGCCCACATTAAGCTAAATGACACCTTGCATGTTGCACGTTGCGTGGGCGGTAAGTTGCATGTAATTGCACGGCAGAAGATCGTGGCGTTGTGATGATAGACCGTGGCTGTCTTCGTCTGTTTTATTTTATTATTTATTTTTATTTTATTTTATTTCTTATTTTTTCTATATTAGGTGATATATCGTTGCTGTAGTTTTTGTTTATTTTTTATTTTTTTTATTTTATTTTATCTATATTAGGTGATATATCGTTGCTGTAGTTTTTGTTTATTTTATTTATTTTTTATTTATTTTATCTATATTAGGTGATATATCGTTGCTGCAGTTTGTTTATTTTTTTATTCTATTTTATTTTATTTTTCTATATTAGGTGATATAGTAGTTTTGTTTTATTTTATTTTTTGTATTAGGTGATGTATGTTTGTTTTGTTTTGTTATTTGTTTACTTTGTGTATTGTTTTGTTTATTAGGTGATATCTCGTTGCTGTCTTTGTTTATTTGCTTATTTATTTGTTTTTTTTTTATTTATCTGTATTAGGTGATATACATTATCTAAAATTCATACCAGCTGTGTTTGTTTATTTGTTGTTGTTGTTACATTTGGTGATGTTTAAGCGTGCAATAACTGGATATCAAAATAAACAATGACTAGAGTATTAACACGCAAAGGCATCCACACTGGCACTCCGGTAGATGATGGTTATTTACACAGTGTTTTTTGCGTGAATAACCGAACACACATACAGCCATTTATGCATGAATAGATAAGGCGATGGAGAAATCTATAAATCCATATGTGATTGGAAGAATTATGCGTATACATACATTTATACATACATACATTTATACGTACACACACACACACACACATATATATGTGTGTGTGTGTGTGTGTGTGTGTGTGTGTGTGTGTGTGTGTGTGTGTGTGTGTGTGTGTGTGTGTGTGTGTGTGTGTGTGTGTGTGTGTGTGTGTGTGTGTGTGTGTGTGTGAGAGAGAGAGAGTGTGTGTGTGTATGTGTGTATGTGTGTGTGTGAATTTATGGATGCATACACATATGTATGTATGTATGTATGTATGTATGTATGTATGTATGTATGTATGTATGTATGTATGTAAGTATGTATGTATATATACATGAACGTGCACTTAGAACAAAGATCACACACAAAAAAATGCATACATACATCGACGAAAATTCTGCAACACATTCGATATTCTGTTTGCAATCGCATCAAGCGAAAATTGCAAGGTAATGTTTACTTTATCGAAAAGGTAAGTTAGTACACTCTTAGCGGGGGGGGGGGGGGGAGGGGGTGGCAGGGAACAGACACAACTGAGTAAGCGCAAAGTATATTATTGTTTGTCTTTACATTTTAGGATCGGGAGGTGAACCTGTCAGACATATGGCTGTCAGTCTGTTAACCAGTCAGTCGTTTTTTTTTTTTTTTTTTTATCCATTTAACCAGACAGTCAGTCAGTTTCCTTACTTAGTTCACCAGTCAGTCAGCCAGTTTTTTTTTAGTCAGTCACCAGTTTTCTAAGTTCACCAGTCAGTCACCAGTCAGCAGTCACAGTCACCAGTTTTCTAGTTCAGTCAAGTCAAGTCAGTCAGCCAGTTTTCTAAGTCCACCAGTCAGTCACCAGTTTCTAAGTCCACCAGTCAGTCAGTTTTCTTCAGTCACCAGTAAGTCAGTCAGCCAGTTTTCTAAGTCCAGTCAGTCACCAGTTTTTCTAAGTTCAGTCAGCCAGTTTTCAGTCAGCAGTTTTCTAAGTTCAGTCAACCAGTTTCAGTCAGTCAGTCAGGTCAGTCAGAGTCCACCAGCTTCAGTCCTGTCAGTAACCAGTTTTCTAAGTTCAGTCCAGTCCCAGTCAGTCTAAGTTCAGCAAGTCCTAAGTCAGTCACAGTCCAGTTTTTCTAAGTCCAAGTTCTCACCAGTCCACCAGTCAGTCAGTCAACCAGTTTTCTAAGTTTCCAAAGTCAGTCAGTCAACCAGTTTTCTAAGTCCAGTTCTAAGTGTCAACCAGTTTTCAAGTCCACCAGTTTTCTAAGTCCACCAGTCAGTCAACCAGTTTTCTAAGTCACCAATCAGTCAACCAATCAACCAATCAACGAGGCCAACACCACGTAGCAACCCTGTGCTGTGATTGCAACACTGACTTGCAAATCCCTCATATAATTTTTTTTATCATTTTTTAACACTTTTTTTTTCTTTTCTTTTTCCTGCGCAAATTTTGATTGCTAGGAATTATCGCTTAGATTTCACGAGCTCATTAACGCTAATGAAGAGCACGGAATGGTTGAAAAAAAAGAAGAAAAAAAGGAAACAGAAAAAAATGGAAAAAGAAACAAGACGAAAAAAAACGAAAAAAAAAAAAAAAATTGGAGGCGTGTTTGTTTATCAGCAGCAGTGAGTTTGGGAAAAAGATTAGCTAAATATTTCTAAAAGACAGAAATGCCGTTATGCTGAATAGGGTATTTACTGGTGTAAGGAAAAAAGATAAGGGAAAAAAAACGGAGGCATCAAGGGTCTTATCATTTTTATGGGTATTTGCGTGCACAAAGGGTTATGGAAATGCGCCGGGGATTCTGCAAACTTGTAGACGCGTATGCACTATATCTATATCTATCTATCTGTCTATCTACACACACACATACGCACGCACGCACACACCACGCACACACAACGCACGCACATGCACATGCACACGCACACGCACACGCACGCACACACACACACACACACACACACACACACACACACACACACACACACACACACACACACACACACACACACACACACACACACACACCACACATATATGTTACCTGTGTCGTGTGCCTGTGTGTACGAGTATATGTGCATATGTAAATGCGCACATATGTATATTCATTTATGTCCAGACACGCACACACACGTGGATCTAAACCGCAAATATCTCACACACACAAGGAATCCAAGCATCAGAATCCCGAGGCACAGAATCCCTCGCTTTCCGCCTCTCCCAAAATGCCTCATGCTTCGAGATACCTCTATTGCACATCGAATTCGAAACAGATACTATAAATTACAACACCCCGCCCCCGGCATCCTTTCTCCCCCTCCTCCCTCCCTCCCCCCCTCCTCCCTCCCCCCCCCCACCTCCCTCCCTCTCTCCCTCCCCCCACCCTTAGCCCCCTACCACCACCCGCTCTCCCTCTCTCCCTCTCCCCCACCCTTAGCCCCCACCACCCTCTCTCTCCCTCCTCCCCCTCACCCTTAGCCCCCCCTCCACCTTCCCTCCCTCTCCCCACTCTTAGCCCCCCCCACCCTTAGCCCCTCCCCCACCTTCCCTCTCTCCCCCCCCCACCCTTAGCCCCCTACCACCACCCTAGCCCCCCCCCCACCACCCTCTCTCCCCCTCCCCCCCACCCTTAGCCCCCCCTCGTTGCAAGATCGTTACAGCTGTTGCATTAGAGGAGGTCCGGCGCGCAATGAGCCGAAAACAGGTCAAACTCGCCGACATGCAAGGTATGCAAGACAGACGGAGCGCGGGTTCCCCCCCCCCCCTCGCCGTTCCTCGCCGTTCCTCGCCAGAGCCGTTCCCGACACGAGGCCCCCCGCGCTAAAAAAAAAAAACAAAAACAAACAACGAACACAACGAACGCCCCGAACGTGTGCACACAAGGCCCTGTACGTGACACACGACGTCACACGTGTGCATCCCACGGCCCTGGCATAACATTATCGGCATTTGCAACGTAGCGTAATATACGTTATTCCCCCCCTGCGCCGTAATGTGCAATAGTTATTATGGCCAGCGCGGTTGCATCCCTCCGCTGGCCAGGGCCTTGCAAGCGGGGCCAACGTGTGTGTGCTCGCCGGGGCTTAGTAATAATAATAAGACCGGTTGTCGTGCCGTTGGTGTGTTTAGTCGCAATAAAACGGATCTTCTGGAAAAGGCGAACTGGTCGAGGAAGGCGATTCTTCGGTCTGCGGGAAATTATTGTTTGTGTAGATGGAAATAGAAGCATAGATGCGTTGATAGATGGGGATAGAGAGATAAATAGATAGATAGATAAATAGATAGATAGATAGATGGAGGGTGGTAGATGCATAGATGTTGCGTTGATAGAAGGGGATCGAGAGATAAACAGATAGATAGTAGATAGATAGATGGATGGAAATAGATGCATAGATGCGTTGATAGATGGGGACAGAGAGATAGATAGATAGATGGATGGAAGTAGATGCATAGATGTTACGTAGATAGAAGGGGATAGAGACATAAATAGATAGATAGATAAATAGATAGATAGATGGATGGAAGTAGATGCATAGATGTTACGTTGATAGAAGGGGATAGAGAGATAAATAGATAGATAGATAAATAGATAGATAGATGGATGGAAGTAGATGCATAGATGTTACGTAGATAGAAGGGGATAGAGAGATAAATAGATAGATGGATGGAAATAGATGCATAGATGCGTTGATAGATGGGGATAGAGAAATAAATAGATAGATGGATGGAAGTAGATGCATAGATGTTACATAGCTACACGGGTATAAAGAGATAGATGAAGATGGAAAGATGGTAGAGCTATAAAGATTGGTGGAGATAGAAAGAAAGATATAGATAGATATATAGATACAAAGAAAGATAGATAAGTAGATAGATGGATAGATATATAGACAGATATATAGATGGATTGATAAATAAATAGATAGATAAATAGACAGATAGATTGAGGGAAAGAGAGATGGAAAGACACCCTACACATACATAAAGATAGAAAAATAGCTATAAACAAATATACACAACAATGAATAAACAAAACAGTTCTTTCTTCTTTGCTATTCACCCTCCTCAACACACATGACGATCGCGAAAAAAGACAGATTAATTAAACGCAGAAAGAAAACGAAGAAAGATTAAAAAAAAAAAAAAAAAAAAAAAAAAAAAAAAAAAAATCGACCGGTGCCAAGGTATTAACGATGTTGTGGAATCTGAAAATGTTTGATAATCCGGAAATTGAGATCACAGCCGGCCGTATGCGAGCTCTCTGCTTGATTAATAAAGACGAAATGCATAATATCCTGCGGCAGGCAAATAATAATTGAGATAATGTCTGCTGTTTAACTTTGGTGGGGAAGATTCCGGTGGAAAAAGATTTTTCATCTTTCTTTTTTTTCTTCTTGTACTACTTTTTTTTTTCTTTTCGTGTTTTTCTTCTTTTTCTTTGTGTTTTTCTTCTCTTTCTCTCTCTCCTTTCCTGTCTCTCCCCCCCCATTCTCCCTCTTCTCTCCTTCTTTGCCTCCCCCTCCCTCTCTTCTCTCTCTCTCTCTCTCTTCCTCCCTCCCTCCCTCCCCCCACTCTCTTCTCTCTCTCTCTCTCACTCTCTTTTTCTCCTTCCCTGCCTCCCCCTCCTCCCATTCTCTCTCTTCTCTCCTTCCCTGCCTCCCCACCCTATTCTTTCTCTCTCTCTCTCTCTCTTTCCTTTCCAATTCTTGTTCTTTACGCGAGTGCACGAGGACGCTGAATACCCGCCAGCTGCAATGCCGCTGTTGCAGCCCTTGGTAGCAGTCATTCTTGATTTGGATGTCTCTTTTCTATTATTATTATTATTGTTTCTTTTTTTTTCTTTTCTTTTCTTCATTTTCGTTTTTTTTTTCTGTTTTTCCCCTTTTCCTTTTTTTTGCCATTTTTAATTTCTATTTATTTTTTTCTTGTCTTTGATTTATTTTTTTTTTTTTTTTCCTTTTCGTTTTTTTTTTCATTTGTTTATCTTTTATTGTGTGATTTCTTGTGACTTTTCTTCGGTTAGCATTTTCTTCTTTGATTAATTTTATTTGGTATTATCTATCTCTTTATTGAGATATTAATTTATCAATTCACTTATTTATGTATTTATTTCTTAGCTCATTTATTAGCTATTGTTTTGCTTATTCTTTTATTTCTTCATTTATTAATCAAATAATTAAATAATTTGCTTGTTTATCTATTAGCCTTTTTACTTATTCAGATATTTCTTCATTTATCTATTCAATAATTTCTTTATCTACTTATTTATATCTTCATCTTATTCATTTTCTATTTGGATCCTTCTTTCCTTTTTCTTTTTTTTTTTCCTTTTTAGAAAAGAGTTAGAAATGCCATCGTTAAAAATACGTTTCATTAAGTCTGAGGAATCCTTTGTTAGAATTTTCCTTCGGCCACTTTTAAGGAAGGAGAGAGAGAGAGAGGAAAAGAGAGGCAGAGGGAGAGGGAGAGGGAGAGGGAGAGGGAGAGGGAGAGGGAGAGGGAGAGGGAGAGGGAGAGGGAGAGGGAGAGGGAGAGGGAGAGGGAGAGAGAGAGAGAGAGAGAGAGAGAGAGAGAGAGAGAGAGAGAGAGAGAGAGAGAGAGAGAGAGAGAGAGGAGAGAGAGGGAGAGGGAGAGAGAGGAGAGAGGAGAGAGAGGGAGAGGGAGAGGGAGAGGGAGAGGGAGAGGGAGAGGGAGAGGGAGAGGGAGAGGAGAAGAGAGAGAGAGAGAGAGAGAGAGAGAGAGAAGAGAGAGAGAGAGAAAGAGAAAGAGAAAGAGAAAGAGAGAGAGAGAGAGAGAGAGAGAGAGAGAGAGAGAGAGGGAGAGAGGGAGAGGGAGAGGGAGAGGGAGAGAGAGAGAGAAGAGAGAGAGAAGAGAGGGAGAGGAGAGGGAGAGGGAGAGAAGAGAGAGGGAGAGAGAGAGAGAGAGAGAGAGAGAGAGAGAGAGAGAGAGAGAGAGAGAGAGCGTCCAAAGAAGGAGAGCACCCTTCTTCCCTTCTCCCTCCCCCATCCCTTTTCCTCTCCCCTCGCTCCCTTTCTTTGCTCTTAGCCATCTATATTCTTCTCCTCTCCTTTCTCTTTCCTTTCCTTTCGCCCCATTCTCTTGCTCTTATCTGTATTCCTCACCTTTCTTCTCTGTCCTTCCCCCTCTCCCCGTTTTATCCTTCTCCAATCTTCTCTCTCCTCTTTTCCCTCCTCCTCTCACTCTTCCAAGTACCCCTTCCCTTCCTTCTTCCTCTTCCTGCTTCACCCCTACCCTCCTATTTCTCCCTATCCTCCTTCTCCCTCCCCCCTTA